ACTTCAGTTTTCCGTAAAACCGGAGGATGGTTCCCAACTACGCGGATTTCCACCTACGCGGGCAGTCGACGTCTCTAAACCGACGAGTAGTTCTACAGAACACTGTATACATAGGTATGCGTTTAGACTGATATGTAAGATCATACTTTTTCCTCTGGCTTTCATAGTGGATACACAGTTAAGAAATGCAAATTCTGTTAGAGTCTTACTCTTTTATTGTATCCCTGTCGTGACGATTATTTTATTATATTTACGATAGTTTATTGTAACTTTTATCACTTCGAGAAGAAATAACTATTGGTTTCTGATTGCTTCGAATATAAGCATCGTGTCATCAGAGAATTCCTTGTTTCGATTAATTTGTCATTAATTATTTTTCATTATTTTTGGTTTTTATTAAACACTAATGTACAACAATATGAGTTTCTAAGTGGTTAATTTACGAACAGACCATCATCCGAAAAAAACGAGACGGTTATAAGTATGGTCATACTCTTACCTTGAACCGCATTTCTCATAACTTTCCCATCATTTCCGGGAAAAATGACAATTACATTTTTCGTTCCTTAGGATTTGTAGAATCATGCTGTGAAAAAATTTTTCGTTCCAGCCGTATGCCAAAATTGGCCTTTTTTTAACATCCTCCTTTGCGTATAAACTGCATGAATAATACAGGGTGTTCGGCTACATTCGGTACTAAATTGAAGAAACGTTTCCTGAAACCATTCAATGTCACAAATCAAGTGACGAAATTGCGTGTCCGAGGCTTCGTTAATTAGATATTAATTAATTAAAATTTGCGCCGTAAGTATTCTGGACTTTCTAAATGCACCATAAATAATAGAGTTATGATGTTGCAGTTGTTAAAAATTAAACCTGTAAAAGATTTATTAAGAAAATGGACAATTATCTCTTTAATTATTTTATAACAGATTAATATGTTAATCTACTAATACACTGAAAACGTGACACCGGTTCGCAAATCTTACTGCAAAATGTAATCACGATCAAATTACCTCTTATATGCAAACGAAATTTCTACCTTGAATGTTGAGATTAGTATCAAATACTTATACGTTAAATTATGCTAATGCGAAAATTGTTTAATGTTACTTTTTGTTTATCTATTCTTACCTTCTTAAAACACGAATTACTTCATGGTCTCATGGTTAATATATTAACACTCATAAATTATATATCGAATAATACCCTTCTAAACAGCAAAATGTTAATTGGCTTGAAATACACTTTAATGACTTAGAATGCAATAATAAAGAAAATAGTGTACGCGTGTGATTTATCCCTTTTACTGCCAAGTAGCCGATATGTCGGCCTTTGGTGTTTGTGAAAAAACTGCCACCAGCTGATAATTTTCCATGCACAATTTATACAACCTAAGTATAAAAGGTTCATATTCTTTGTAATTAAATACTTTCGTACATTTAAATGAGTCATACATACAGTCGGCCGTCAACTAAAAATTTTGGACGTCATAGCTAGCTAGACATTATTTTCAATTGAAAAAAAAAAATTATAAAGCATAATACCATAATCCAATGCTTAAAATGTATTTTCTCGTGGCCGTCTGACAGCAACCTGTAAATCTTTAATTACTCAATAAGTATTAATAAGTAAATGTTGTTCAAATTATATCATGTTTGATCTCATTGTCATGAGAAAACTCTCACCAACATGTTAAAAAAATTTCAGATGAAAAAAAGTAAAATTAAAGAAATTATATTTTTCTATTATGAATTGTCGAGCCGTGTAATCTCGTAAAAGAAACCGAGTGGTGTAGCGTTACACGCTTGACTGACAGCGAGCGAGATAACATAGGCGCAGCAATGACGCAGACCTAGGCGTAGGACCACCTATACTGACACTTGTAGAATCCAAACTGGCTGACACTTGTAGAGACATTACTGTATTTGGGGCTGGCGGTAAAAGGGTTAAACATGCAATAGGTTAAGCGTATGACAAATCGTAAGGGGATAATCTAGCCAACTGCTGAACGCAAACAAATGGATAACTATTTATTTGTATGATCGGTAAATGTGACGACTGCAAGAATCGCCAGAAAATATGCACAGGAAATTCGCGCGCATATTTTTCTTCCAAAAACAAAGTATGCTTTATAATTATCACGAATACAAGAAAGAATAATTAGAAATCAACCAAGGGTAAAGAGTACTCATTCGATAGAAAAAGTTTTCACGCGAGCGATCAGTGGAGAATTAAAATTCTCGCACAAAAAACGCGTGGAATCACACATTTACGTATGTATATAGTGCTGTAGGGAGAGGAGATGGTAGGAGCGGATTTTTTTTAACGATTTCACACGGCTCGATAAACCGCAATAACATCACTGTGTATTCCGAGGATGCGGAAAGCAGCGTTCACTTCGGCCGGTTGATTTCCATTATGAAAAAAAGAAAAAAAAATCAGAAAAACAGAACAAAACGAAAAAATGAAGAAAATAGAAAAGAGGAACGTCCAACGTTGGCGCGGTTAAATAAAAATCGGCCGAGCGAGCAAATGAACGTGTGCTCATTGTCGAACGGAACACCCTCGCGCGTTTTCATCGGCACTCGAAAACTGAATGCACCCTGCACTTGAATTAATTCGAGTTCGTATACGTTCGTTTCGTCCCCTCCGCCCTTTTCACCCTCTTGAAATTCAGCCTGGCTATTTTACATCCGCGTAATCGCGACCGATGAAAGCGTCTTCGTTTCATCGTCCCTTGGTTTCCTCTTCTTTCACAAATTTCCACGCGATACTCTCCTCTCTTTGTATTCTTTGTTTCTTTTTTCTGCTTCGTTCGCTGCCCCTTTTTAATGTCATTTGGATGGCTATGGTTCCGTATCGATCGATCTCAATTTATTTCAGACTTGTTTCATCCGTTTCACTCGCGTGATTCAAGCCTGAATTTGACCACAGCCGCAAAATCTTCAGCTATGTGTTTCTTCCGCGAGGGTGTAAAGGAAACGGGGGACGCTGTTCGTGTTAAGCGGTGAAAGGCTTTGCCCTTAAGCGGGGTTCAATGGAAAAAGGCGTTCTATTGACGACCATTTAAGGCGCTCGAGTTGTTGAGATATCGGTGTAGGTGCAATCTTTACCCACTGCTGGTATTCATGGAAAGATGCAAAAAGGTCTTGATATATTTCAAAGTTTTCTCCTTTAAGAACGTTTAATTTGTAGGTTAATTGACTTGAGGAACTTGTGGTGTGAATGAGCACCGGTGATGTGAAATTTTGTTTAATTAAGAGTATAGTTTTTGGAAACGTGTTTCTGTTATTTGTAAAGTAGTTACACTTTATACGAATTTATTAGAACTTGCTTCGAATGAGAAACAAATGTATCGATGAATAGAAGTTTGGAAAGCAAGGACATCAACATCTACCGTAATATATAATCGGATAGAAACGAAAGTCTCAATATAAAGTCTAATCTCAAAATAAAAAAAATATAAAAAACGTTTGGAAAAGAAATATTTGATGAAAATCATATTTATTTTTGCTAGAATGATAAAAAAATGTATACAGGACAAATTATGTGTGTACAAGCTTTAAGGAAACTTACAATGTTTAGTTACCATAAATTCGTTAAATTTGTGAAAATTTTACTGTCCAAGCAAAATTCGAAATGAAATGTTTTATCATTTGTATATTACTTCATTGGATCGGTATGAAAAGATACTCGTATATTTTAAGATATCAATGATTAGATTTATCTAAAAATAAGTGATAGATTGTAACATAGAGATTTAAAAATCAGTTTTGTAAAATTGTTTACTCAGTGTGCATCTGCAAAGTTTGCAGTTTTAGGATACGGTAAAATTGAGTTAAATTATGGATGGTACAGATGAAAAGTTTTTCTCCTCGAAATAGTGCAACTCTGCTTAAAAAATAATCTAGATCTCGTTTGTGTGATTTACATTCGGTAATAGTGAAATAAAACATTCTGAAATGTTAAAAACGAAAATTACCCTTTCGAATTAGAAAAAGGGTATCACTTCTTCTGCACGACTGTCAAAGATACGTATGTGCTGATTCATCAAGTAGCTAATTTTAAGCGGTTTATCAATAGCTTCGATGGCTGAGAAACGCTCAAGGTTAATTTGCACCAGCGTCGAGAGTTTATTTGAACCACATCGGCCTGTACCTCGTCAGACGCGAATAATTGCATGGGATCTCGACGATCCAGGAATTTCCATGCAAGCACTTTCAATATTGTCCATCGAAGGTGTTCTGCTATCTAGGTCTCCTGTTTGCTTTCGTTTATACTTGTGCAGATTTATTAGGGCACTTCAGAGGAAGAGTCTGCAATGTTACGAACATGAAGAGCTAGACCTTGAGATGCTGCAGACTATTTAGACATTAGGTTCTGCGAAAATTCATTTCCATCTGGTCTCCCATCTTCGTAGTTATAAAGGAGTTAATTTTGGCTTTTAATTGTGGATAGTGTAGAGTTTTTCCTAAGCTTTCTGTAGCACGAAGTTGTGATTAACGAATCTTTTGCTTGCGTACTTTTGCAAAAGATTTATACGTTAAATGGGAATTCTAACATAAATTTTTGGCCAAAGTAATAACCTTTGAAAATAGTTCTTCGTATATTACCCTTTGCTATTTTTACTATTGCAAGTTACGTGAAACAGAACTTGTATAAATGTTGAAAATTTTGATAGAACTTTAAGTAACTTTTTACAAATTAAACAATTCATGATAAATTTGAAACTGTTCTCTGGTTACATGTCCCAAACACGAGAAAAACTAAAAAAGTAGCTACCATCGAAATTTAAATTGGTACGATTATTTTTTTACGAGCGTTGTGCAATTCAAAATAAAGGATTAATAATTTTTAAAGAATTGGTCGAACTACTTAAGAAGAAAACCAATTACTTAGAGAAAGGACAAATAATCTCACATCTGAAGCTACAACGAAGAAGATTAACAAAGATTGATTTTCAGTTAAAACTAACTGTATGTTTCTTACTGTTGCAGGTCGCAACGAGCTGATTGCCCGTTACATCAAATTGAGAACGGGCAAGACGAGAACGCGAAAGCAGGTCTCTTCGCACATACAAGTGCTTGCTAGGCGAAAACTTCGCGAAATCCAAGCGAAACTCAAAGTGGTAAGTATCCGAATACCTGTTGGTCCGGTGCGCATTTCTTAGCTGCACCACCTTTTCATTTTTATTTTTGCCGGTTGACATTTTCATATCTAGATACCTGAGAACCCGTGACAATAAATAATATCAAACAACTGAAACATTATTCTCATCGACTTTCATACATGCATCCCTTCGATCATTATAAATCACCCAAAAATATCACCTAAAAAAAGAACATTTTATTTAACACCATGCACGAACTAAATTAGGTTAACATCAAGTTTTCGAAGTACGATAGGGTATTCCATATTTTCAATTTTTTCACTTCTGTTCGTTCCATTTCCCTTTACCTCTCTCGATTCAGGTTGCGCAGGAATTAATTGTCAATAGAGAATTCGTTCGATCAAGAGCTACGTAGGGAGGTTTGTAGCGGAATAAATCATGCGTAAAAATGAACCCGGCCCGTTTAATCAACAGCTGAATTATTAAAGCGATTTGGGAACAATTGCGCGGCTGTTAATAAATCACAGCACAGTGCGTTCACCGCTTCCATTCGACGATGAGTGCGCCGATGTACAGAGGAAGAGAGAGAGCCCCGTGGTGCATTGTTTATACAGGGAACGGTCAATAGTGCAAGCACAGATATAAAAAGGAGACAAAACGAACGTGTAAATTAAGCAATTCGAGCGTGTTTTACGCAGTTAATCAACGTTCACGCGTAAAGGCACACGAGTTTATTTCCGTTTTCGACGATCCACTTTGAGCCCGTGCAAAGAACCAGTTAACTTCAAAAGAAAAAAATTCATACATGTGCAACTTGGAAATCGTTTATTTTTCTCTCTTTCTCTCTCTTTCTCTCTCTATCCCCTCTCTCTCTCTCTTTCTCTTTTCCTTTTGTTGCTTTTGCATCGAACCTTTGAAAGTTTGTTTAAAAATAGATGAAATGGATACAAAGGAAATATCCTTTGGTATTCCAGAAATAATGAATTGTAAATGATAAAGAAGAATAAGAAAGGGAGGATAAAACAGAAAATCAAAATTGTAGGTTTCAAGTATCCGTTTTAACGAAATTAGTACCTAATACTTTGAAAGTTCATATCTGCAGAGGTATTAAGCTATGATACTTAATGATATACATTTGTTTGTGAAGGCTTATTACAACAATGCAAAAAACCTTCACAAACAATGATGCTTCCAACTCCTTTAAATATTAATATTTGGTGAAATTTTGGTTCTATATTGGGTGTATTTTTGATAATTCAAATTGTTTCAGGGTTATTGTTATCTATACGTAGGATAATAAATATTAATTTGCGTAAATCATCCTTTATTTCAGAGTGCATCTAGTTTACTCGCTAGAATTATATTAAGCTTACCGTGTTTTGAGTATCACAGCAATTGCAGAATGTGCATTTTCATTTTAGACGATAAATATGAATTTTTCAAGTTTATGCCTTCTTTGTAAGTTGGTCTCTTTTTTTCAATGAAACTTAATTCACCAGAGCTTAATGTGCCTCGAATATTATAGAAATTTCAGAATTTACGTAGAACGATATATATGAATTTTTTAAGCTTCCGCCTTCTTTGTAAGTTGGTCTCTTTTTTTCAATGAAACTTAATTCAACAGAGCTTAACGTGTCTCGAATATTATAGAAATTTCCGAATTTACGTAGAACGATAAATATGAATTTAATAAATTTCTCCCTTCTTTAGGAATTTCACCCCTCTTAACTAGAACTTAATTAAGCAGAGCCTAATAAATACAAAAATTCCTTAAATATTTCTCTTTAATTAAAAAAAAACTACCCAATCCAACTACCAAAAGAATCAACACTCCAAACGGACAATATTAAATAATAAACAAAACATCACACATTCTCTTT